TTGAAGAAGATGTACATGTTTTTTTTAAATTAACAATGAAATATAATTATTTCCTATTTCTGTTCTTGATATGTTAGTTTGTTGATCAGTTGTATATTGGATGTATCATAGATGAAGGTGATATGGTCATGAATTTCAGGATTTTGAGAAATGTTTTTAGAAAACATAATTAATAGTTAATAATTGTAGATTTCATCTTAATAAATTTTTTCCAAGCTGTAAGACTTAAATGTAATAAATGAATGTACCTATGACATAAATAATGAACATGGATCGTAGAGGTCACGCAATGAAACTATATTTATGCTTTTGCAAGGGAAAATCTAGATCATTCATTAACTTCTAATCTCAACGTTTTTCTGCTGCTTCTTTTTTTCCCTTTGTTTTGCTTCCTAACGTGAAGAAACATATTTAAGAGGAAAAAAATATCAATAGTTGATAAACTAATTGGACAGGCCAGATATCTAGTACTGGGATAAAATCAAGAACTGGTCCGAACCAACAGAAAATCGGTAAAACTAGTGAATTGGAAAGAGAAATTTTAGGACAAATCCATCATTTATGTTTCTATTCAATTATATTATTCAATCAAATAACGTCTTATGTGGTATTACTTTTAATAACTTTATTTTTATAATGAAATGCCTATTCATTTTTTTTTAATTAATAGAATATCTATTTAATTCCTTGCATTTTCTCTCCTTATCATTATTAATTATTTATTTAATGTCATCTGGATGTCATGTTTTTATTATATAATTGTAAAGTACATTTAATCTTTTTAGGATAAAATAGAGTACATTAATCTTTATGTATTACATGCTGAATTTATTATTTGTAGAAGAGGAAGCTATTACTTAAATTGGATTCTCTCTGCTTCTTCATTCATGTATTGGAGAGAGAGTATAGCATAGGGAACATGCTTTATATTTTAAAGTTAGTAATTTGTGAATTTACTGGAAAAATTTAAGATTAAGCTTGAAAAAATATTTTTTTATGTTTAGGCCTAAATAGATCCAAGAAAATTCAGGCAAAGTTCGATCAGGTTTTGCTTGGCCCAAATATTTGAATAAAAAAAATATTTTAAAAAATATATAAAATGTGATAATATTAATTATTTTTTAAATTTTTATATCATTTTATATCAAAATACATATATTTGAGTGTATTACTATAGTTATTTTTTTAAAAATTAAAATAGTTATATTTTCATATTTTTTTATTTTTAATCAAAAATATCTCAAATAATATTTAAAATATATTTTCAATATTAATTTTTATATTTTAAGATGCAAATTTTTTTTAAAAAAATTATATCCTATCATCATTTGTGTATAAAAAAATTAATTTTATATTTTTTTATAAAGAAGATAATTAAATTTTAAAGTAAAAATAAAATAAAAAATGATTTTAAAAATAAAATTTAGGTATGTATGAATTTTTGACTCTATTACTAGATAAACATAATAAATAAAATAATATTTTGAATAATTACTTGGTTATTGTCATGCTAGACCTTAGTAAAATTAATAATAAACTAGAATAAAAATTTCTTATATTTAAGGATTAAGTAATATAAAAAGTTAAGACAATAATTTAAAAAAATATATTTTACTCATAATTAAATAATTTTTGATTTATATAATATAATGATGGCTATTTTTTTATATTCATAAAATAAAAAGTATAACTTACTCAAAAGTTATTAAAAACTTTGAACTAGTTGGATAATAATTTAAGTTAGTAGTCTACTGATGATTGAATTGAGATCAACTTAATTATAATTAAAATAATATAATTTAATTAAATATATAAAAATATTTATATATTACTATGATAAGAGAAATATTTAAACAATTAAGATATTAATTTATAAGTAAAGAAAATATTTATAAATAAATTATACATAATATAACAAAACAATAATAGAGCTACTTAAGTACAAAGTTAATGAGTTATTTTTTATTTTATTCTTTTAAGGTTAAATAATATTTTATGTTTAATAGAATTATTTAAAAATTAAAATTGATTTAAAAATAAAAAAATATTTTAAAAAAGTTTTTGACATTCGGGCCAGACCAAATAAGTTTGAAATTTAAAGGTGTTAAAGTCAAGCTTGACTGTAAGGGCTTTTTAGAAGGAATATGATACTTGAAGTTTAATTCGAATAAGTTCAACCTGTCCTAATTATCGGTTCTAATATAATTCTCACAAATTTACTAGTGGAGGAAGCTAAGTGCGTATGAATCTAGGCTCGCCATTCATTTGCCAATTTCGGAAGTGTGTCCAACACATTCAAAGTATCAAGCTGACGAGGAAGTCAACTTAAGTTTCGTTCGATTGTTATAAAGGATGGAAATGAAATAAATTAAAAAAAATGCAAATAGTTAAATGTGGATGGGAAGACAAGTCAAACATTATCTCACCAAGTGAGATTAGTTGTATAAATCACATGACATGTAAATTGAACTTGGTTAATAGCTAATTAAATATATATTCAGATATTTGCTTCCACTACTCTTTATAATTGAGGTATTTTTAGTCTTTTCATCAGAATCAAGGGGATGCTATTATTTAAAAGACGAAAAAAGTATTTAATTTTACCAATATTTAAATTCATGTTTTAATGAAAAAAGAGTTAAATTAAATGGAAAAAGGAGCAACAAACATTAAAAATAACAATATATTGAAAAATCATAATAAATATTTTTCTAGTGTCTTATCATTCACCCTGAAAACTCATATGATAACTTGCCTAAATATCCTTCTATATCTTTTTGTTATATAGGGTTAAAAATGATACGTTCAACCTAATCGCTGGCACCTCCAATAATCTTCATCTTTGTCCAAATCACCTGAATCAATTTTCCACCAGTTTTTCATAGTAGCTGTCACGCCAACTTTTTTTTGTTTATACCATCGTTTTTCAAACATTTACCATTAGTTCCTACAATTTTACAACAGTAGAACTTTCCTTTAAATTTAGTAGAAATTAACTTTGGTCACATATGACACCTGATGTAATTTAACCACACAAAATGTATTCTATACATAACATTTTCATCAATTTTACTGTTATTTTGTTTTCAATCGATACTTGACTTTAATGCTTGTGATGTGGTTTCCAATTTTAACCGCCAAATCAATATTATATTGATGGATTCAAGAGTCGATAAATGGGGGCCAAATCGGAAACAAATCATTTTAACAAGTAAAATCTACTTTTCCTGAGGCCATTAAAGTATAATCTTCTCCAAATTATTTCTAACTTGTCTCTTGCGAAATTTGTAAAAAAATGTGTAAATTCTGCTCTCCCACTCAATAAAAAATTCTTTGATTTTGCAAACCATGTCTCCTTATCTCAGGTTTATAAGAGTCAACAAATTTTCTCTTGACAGCTCTCCGTAAAAGCTAAGTTAACACTATATCATCTACAAATAACATCCATTTTGGAATTTTCTATTGTATATACTCAACTAGAATATAAACATATGATTTAAAGACAAACTATTCAGTAATTTAATGAAAATCGTTTCTCATGTTTTCCTCTTAAAAATATATCTATCTTTTATTCCACGAAATCCAGAGAATTCGCAATTATTTAATTAAAAATTTTAAGATCATCATAACGAAAACAAATTATGTTATTGAAAATATAAATTTAATGGAGTCAAATTGTGCTGATAAAAAAAAATGGAGCCAAATTGAATTTAAGCTTAATTTAATATTAAATATCTTCATTTTCATTTTCCACACCACATTTATATGTACTTGTGCCAGCGTATATATGAATATATATATATATATATATAGATGATGTTTATACACATCCTCACATGCAACAAAATGGTCTAATTTCCTTCTTTTCTAATAATAAAGAGTAAGCTTTGGTGATTCAGAACAAAATGCCTTTATTCATTTGCCACTTTATTGTAGTAATTTGTTACATGTAGCGCAGCATATATGAATATCAGAAATGTATGTAAATATTTAGGTGTTGTGTTTCTCCTTAATTACATATAACAAAATGGGCTTTCCTTCGTTTCTGATATTCAGTAAAGACAAAGCCAAACGCTGGTATTAATTAATTGCTTAAAAGTATAAACACATTCTCAGACAATTGAATTAAAAATTTATTCATTATAACTCTTACACCTGCACTGTGTGGGTGGGTGTGTAGCCACTACCAAGACAGAAACATGAGATAAATCAGAGACCAGACAACGAGTACATCCATTGACAATAAGCAACATAAGTACTTGGGTTATTCAGAGTAATATAATTATGAGTACGATGATATACTCAAGCATCTTCAGCAGTTGGAACAGAATCCTTGGAGGGAAGCCATTCAAGGAAGCGATTAAGAGTCTCAGTATCAGCTGTATAATAGATCTGTGTGAATGTGAACATATCACGCCACTGGAAATCAGGGTACTTCCTTTCCTCTTTCTCTCCGAAATCAGCTCAGGTGGTTTCACTGTCTTGTCTCTGTTCGGAACCACAAAGTAAGCCAACGATCTCCTCTCATGCTCCTTCAGCACCATAGCCCTATGAATACAGCCCCTGTATTTCCCATTCGACAAAGCCTAGTACGTCCAAACACACAAGCGCGCGCGTAAATTAACATAACATGCAATGAACATGCATGTAATAATAATTAACTTAACCTTAACCTACATACCTGGAAAGTGTCGCCGAGGTTGACGACGAAGGCCTCAGGACGACGTTGACAGACGAGCCACTTGTTGTCCATGAGAACTTCGAGACCAGCGTCTTGATCTTGATGAAGAATGGTGATGCAGACGGGGTCGCTGTGAGGTCCTTTGGCTATGGAGAGATTGGAATTGTCGCATGGACGGTATAAGCTGCATCTCAAAATGCCTCCGCCGTCTTTGAAATATTCCCTGAAGTGTGATCGATCCACTCCCAGACTCATCGCAATCACCTCATCACCACTTTAGTCAGCTCCGTCATCGCTTCAACGTACCTCTCATACACCTTCCTGTATATATATGTAACCAAATTCAATCAAACTATTCAAAATTACTAATCAAATCATACATGTATGTGTACATGTAAGAACCAATAGGAAAGGGGAGTAACGGTTCAAAAATAGGAAAAAAGAACATATAGGAAAATAGATTCAAAATCATGTGTCCTCAGTCATTATTAAGTCAAATTTTCTTTGACATGCACATCAGCTACTTCAAAGGTGTGCCCAATAATCACACACAAGTATGGGGCAAAGTCAAATTTTGTGATACCACTTATGGTGGGAATGGAGAGAGAAAATCCCAAAATGGAAAAGAGAACAAATAGACAAGAGCAACATAAGAATGCCAAATTTTTAATTTCAAATCTGAAGGCTTAAATTTACATTACTTACCCGGTGCGTTCAGGAAGGTGTTCTCCGTAGGCAGTCTTGAGATGGTCAATGACTTGAGTGTTAGATCCAACATTGCTGTAATGAAGAGAGTAGATCTCTTTGAATGGTACGGTGGACGAAAACTTTTCATCATAAGTTCCTAAATAGCCCTTAACAGCACCACGCTTCCTCGCGGCAATCATCTTCAATTCCTTTGGCATTCCGAAGATGGAATCAATCTCTTCGTACGCTTCTCGAATCAGAACAGGATCGACGCCATGGTTGGTCACTTGGAACAAGCCGTGCTTTATGCACGCGTCTCTTACAAGCTCGCAAGCCCTAGCCCTAGTTGCATCGTCGCCGTTCATGAACTCGACCAGGTCTATGAATGGCTCGTTCAGATACTCCTTCGTCTCAGTCGTTGTCGAGTTTCCGTTGGCCTCGACCGGCTTCACTCCATTCTCATGTGTTGTTGCCGCCATTGTCGCTCACTCTCTAAGCTTTGCTCTGTAACAGAAGGTTTGGTTGTGTTTGTCCCAGAGGCTGACGAATCCTTTATATACACTCAGCGTCATCCATTATTGATGGATATTACTCGTTGCTTATCAGTTTATCGTTTTCCATGGTTCATGAATTTCCGGATTTTGAGACATGTTCTTAGGGGAGATTAAAAGTAATAAATGATTGCTGATTTCTTCATGAAATCATTAATTTTCTGTTCCCATGATGTTAACTACCTCCAAATACATGAATGTATGATCAGTAGAAAGTATCTAAATTAATGAAAAGCTTCTTCCTTGCACAAATAATAAGTTCATGCATGTACTATTGTAATGATTCGCAAAAAATTCATGCATCTAGTATTAATGTACTATAAATAAAGATCAATGTACTTGCATAAATGATACAATTCACAAGTTTAATGGAGGGAGGGCATTTTGGAGATAAAGTTTCCAACTACATGAATCCGCGGGGTGCTCATGTTATTTGAATTAAAATACAGTGGCATTCCTTGCATTTTACTAAAACTATAAAGATTTGGCTTACCAAGTCAAACTGATATATTCTCTCCATTTCTATATGTAAGAAAAAAAAAATTATATCATAAAATTTTAAAAAGTTAATTAACTATAATAATTATGTCTAAAAATAAAAAAAAGTAAACTAAAATGTCATGTATTAATTAATATAACCATAACATATATTAATTATTTTATTAATGTAAATTATGAAAGGTGATTGAAAAAATGTGTAATAAATATTTTTTGAAGTAGGTGATTTTACTTATAAAAAAAATTAAAAATAGTAGTTTCTTTAATAATAAAAAATGAAGGGAGTAAGTGATAGGAGCCTTCATAAAATGAGTAGCTAGGGTTCAAACTCTCGCGTTTACATGTAACTTTTTTTTTTTTTTGGATAAAAGTGTGTGTAGCAATTTAATTGGGAAGAGTCATCTTTTGCGCTCACTATCCTAAAGAAGAAAAGTTGTGCGGCAAAATCTATTTATTGTACTCATAAAAAATTTATAAAAAAATTCTCTTTATTTTTAAAACCTGCGATTTTAATCCAATGTGTCAGGAGGTCCCATTAAAGATTTTAAAATACTTAATTTTTTATTTTTAATTATACAACAAAATTTACAATCGTCAATGTACTTCAAAATCTAATTGTCTCGCCTCCCCCTAATTTAAAAAAACTTTAGATAATTCAATATAATAGCATTTAAATAAATAAGTTAAAATTATTTATCAAAATTAATCAAATTTTAAATAAAAATAAAGATAAATAATATTAAGTGAGTTATCTCTTGTTATATATTAAACCCCTATTTAACTAAGTTTTGTGTTTGAAATATTATTTTAGCCCACTTATACATTTAAATTTTTTTAATAAATACTAAATAAATAAGTTTTCAATTTTTTCAAGTTGGACTATCCTAATCAAATGTTGAGTTCAAGCAATGAAAATGTAACACTATTAGGGAGATCCCATTAAAGATTTTAAAATATTTAATTTTTTATTTGTAATTATGCAAAAAAATTTACAACTTTTAATGTGCTATATAATCTAATTGTATCATCTCCCACTAATTTAAAATAAAACTTTAAATGAAAAATATGATGATATTTAAATAAATAATTTAAAATATTATTAAAATTAATAAAATTCAAATATAAGTAAACATAAATAATGTTAAGTAACTTATCTCTTATTATATATTTAATCCCTATAAAATTAACTTTTTTTTAGCATGCATGAAAATGTATCAACATTAATAGTAGAACTATCCCAATTTAATTAGGTTCAGACTCACTTTTTATATAAAGAAATGCCTAATATTAAAGCTCATTATAAGTTTGAGTGAGTAAAGTTCAGAAAGCTCAAATTATGTTATGAACGAGAGGTCATAATGATTAGAAGGAAGGAGAGAGAGCTATTTTCACATCTTGACATTATAGTCTCAATAAATTGGCTTTTGTAAATTTAATAATCGTTGGATCAAGCTGAAATTTGATCAATAAATTTATAAAATTTATTTTATCATTTTTAATAGTTGGATCATTGATTCAATAACTAGTGTGAGAGTTATGCACTTCATCACTCTATCTGTAGTTTGGGTATTTTTCATCTTTTTTATCCTCTTTTATAAGCTTATTGCTTTGACATTTTGGCTAGTTGTTTGCACTTATTTATACATTTGTTTGAGAATCTTTTGTACCTTATTTTGATTAGAGTGGAGCTAAGTTTCATGGGTCTAAACGACCCATGATTTTTGCCATTGTATTAAGAGGTTTTTCATGTTAATAGTTTCTTGATTAAATTATGCTATTTATTTTTATGCTATATATTTATTTGCTTCTTTGAAATTCTAACAAGTGGATGAGAATTTATTTTTATTAAGTTGTGCTTTTCTAATCATAATGGTATCACCGTGCTCTCTAGGCAAGAAAAAAATTTGGCACGAATTACATCTTCGGGAAGAGCTCGTTACAATGCAGACAATAGCGTTCCCCAAATCAAACAACTTATAGCAGAATTAACAAAAAGAAGGCTTATCAATGATGAAAAGAAAAACATCAGAATGAAAGGACTTGTAGATATAAGCAGTGTAATTAAACATCAACATTTTCCGACAAAAGTCTTGTTTTCTATTTAAAGAAAAGGCATGCATTTTTTTTTCCTTGACTGAAATGAAACATGGAAGCATGTTAAAGTACATTTTTTAGCTAAATTTACTTTTGATACATTGTTCCTTGATAGCGGTTTTAACCTTCCCAAACTATCTTAGAAACTCAAAATATACAACTTGATCCATTAATTTGAAGGATATATAATTAATTGCATTGACAACAACATATATCAAGTTTTCTGATAACTGATATACATTATATTGATCACATATTTTTAGCCAAACGAATATATTATCTTCAGCTAGTGCTAGTAGGTAACTCTAAAGCTTCACTTGAAAAACAAAGTAACTCCAAGGCTCTAGCCCAAAAAACAATTTCTCTATAACATTTTCTACACCTTTTCCAAGAGACAAAATTTAGATCCGTTCCTGTGATATGATAGTCATGTAAGACAGAGATCAACATATGACTATTATGCTACATGAGAATATCTAAATTTAGAAATACAAAAGAGAAAGCTTCAATATACTAGATCACCAAGGAGCTTTAGACAGTTCTCGAAATTCAGTCTCCAATCTCTCAAGGTTCAGATTGTGGAAACCAAGCTCACCATCAAGTCTATTTATGGTCTTTTTCACTTTCTCAAGCTTTAGTTCAAGAACTTTCTTTTCCTGTTCAGCTTGGTCTCGTTCAATTTTTGTCTCTTTGTACCTCTTAGATTTTGACGCTAAACTCATGAGCTTTTCCAGCCTAGCAAGCAAGAAACTAACATTCATGCCAAAGATTTCAAGGCCTTTCAAAGATTTGTACCACACGGCAAAACTATCTGAAGGAGTTGTGAGCTTGCTGGCTCTAATGGCGTCAGCAATGTTAATAGTCTCACAGATCATTCCAACAACCAGTTTACTGTTTTGACCTTCAAGAAGATGCTCATGAAGAAACATTCTCTGACTGCAGCAAAGTTCATAGTACTTGGTTTTGAGGTGTTTGGATAGTTCTGAATCAAGTACTAGGCCATTGACCACAACACTGAAATCCTCAATGCTTGTGACTTCTTGGAAAGCGATTATAGATTCTGATAATCTAATCCCATTCAAAACTTCAGGGCCCAAATTTTCATCTAGATCACTGGTATTTTCAGGTTGGTCTAATGGCAGTATGTTAGGCTCATAGATCATTTTGCTATAGTTTGAATCATTTTCTTGCGGAGAATCTAGAAAGATGAGATCATAAGAAGCAATTAGAAACATAGAAATGTCAAAGTAAACAAAGAAATGAGAATCATATAAAGGAAACTTACCAGAATCATGTTGCTTCATGCAACCGTCTAAATTTAGAAGGCTGAGAGCAACATCTACTTCGTTTGACCCATGAGATCTTATGATGTACACCTTTGGACACGAAAGACACTAAAAATTACCAACTTGACTCAAGCAATGAAGCATTGTGGCAAATTCTCACTAATTAGTAATTTTTCTCATAATTGTGAAACTATTACCTTGAACTTATAAGGCTGGATCAAGTGGAAAACTATAACATCTCCTTCAAGTAAATTGTGAGCCAAGGAAAACCCTCTCCACCCACCGCTTAAGCCCACTTTCTCAGTAAGATATTTTGTTTCGTATTCTCTACCATTCTCATCTTCCAAAACAATCATAGTATCAACCTTTGGCAAATGCACTTCACAAAAATGTTTAGGAAGACCCTGCCATTACAAAATTTTGTGCCAAGTGTATTATTCTTGTACTTCAAGATTTTATATATATATATATATATATATGACTACTTAACTGGATCAATTTCAAGCATTGTCAAGCCCAATTGAAGCTACCTCATTTTTTTCTATAAAGTTTTTCAATAAAAACATAACATGTAAAAGTTTCCGTAAAAAATATCAAATCCTCAATATTTTCATTAGAGAACCTGATATCAAACACTTAAAAACAATGCTCAAGTTTCATGCTAAGGGATTTTACCAGCCAAAATCCACCAGACACGTGTGATCGGAGCATGAACTTGATAAGGCTTGGAAATTCATGAGATAGATTTGCTTGAACCTCTTTTGCTCGTTCCAAAGCATGAGACTCAGGATCAATGGTTGATCTCTTTGGTCTATATATATTATACAAGTGAAAATGTGGAGTCATTGATTTCTATGTTCTACAATATATCATTAGATTATGTAGCCATACAGGTAAATTTGACTAACCTCAAAGGTCTTTCTGGTTTCTTACTTGTAACCTGTTTAAATTTCTATCCAATAAGACACCTCATGATACATCAACAAACTATTTTTACATACACACACAAATAAAATATGAAACAAACTGTAATTTATACACTATCTAACC